ACAAGCAGCTGGTGCAAAGGCACTTATTATTGCTAGTGATGATAATTATTTATTCAAACCAGATCTTCCAACTGAACGCGATCCAATTTTCTTTTCAATACCTTGTCTCCTAATAACTAATGAATCTGGGATAGAACTAGAAAAGCTTTTATCTGCATCACCTGAAGTTCGAATAAAACTTATACCTAATCAACAAGAGCAAAAATCTGATTTCGCGAAGAACGAACTTTTACTAACAATTCATGGTCATGTAATACGTAATATTCGGCTTAACCTGAGTGGACAATAATTTATAATATTTTATGTACCATTGATTAGTGTGTAAATAGAAAAGAAGTAAACAGGATAATATTTAATGTCTAAACACAAATTACACGAATAGTTATTCTTCATTCTAACATTTCATAGAGTTTTTACCACTAGTATGTTTATTAATACAGTGATAACCAAAAAAAATGGTTTAATTATCAATTATTTAAATTACATAAATATATTTTTTGATATTTTAACCAAGTTTATTATAAGTTACTTTTACTAATTCATTATTTTGTTTTTTTGTTTTTATGTAAATAAATATAATTATATAATTATACAGTATATATAAACTGATTGGAAATTAAAAAAAACTTTTTATATATTCTTAAATATTATAAATATTTTCATATAAAATTATTTTATTAAATTTTCTAATAAATTTTATTAATAATTAATTTTTAACAAAAAAAATTTTGCAATTTATTTTTCTTTTTTTTATAGATAAATAAACATTATTTCTTGATTTAATTTGTATAATAAAAGATATATAGTGTAAAATAAAAATAATTGAAAAAAATCAAAACTTATATTTTTAAATCAATAATTGTGCTTTGCTTCAGAAGTAATATAATAAACAAGTTTTTTAAAGAAAAAAATATAATAGATTTCTGTTTAGGATTTTTTCAAAAAGAAGATATTATAGAATAGATATTAATAATAACAAAATCAAAAGGTAAAAATAGCAAAGCAAGATCTTTTTTATAAAAATTATTAAGATTAATTTATAAATAAATCAAAAAAAAGATATGGAATAACAGATACTTCAGATTATAAGAATCAGAAAAAAAGTTAAAAATAAAAAAATACTTGAAAAGTAGCTATACAAAAAGTAAGAAAAAGAAAAATTAAAAATGAAAAAATTGAAAAAATATAAAATTAAAAATTCTATAGATCAAGAAAAAATATTAAAGAATAATTAAAGCAAAATCAAAACTGAAGTTTAATAACAATTTGAAGATGAATTAAAAAAGAAAGAAGTGATTAAAAATATAAGATATAGTTTAAATTTTGTTTAAATGAACCATAATAATGAATTATAAGCTATAACCTTTATCTTCAAATTTTCTAAACAAATAGATAATAAAAAAAAAATCTTTTTTATCTTCAAAGTTACATCTAAAGATATAGTTTAAGACAGGTATTCAAGACAATAGAATAATTTATGCAATACAATATATTATATATTAGTTTTTTTCTATAAAGATTTAATAAATATATGTATTTATTTGACTATAGGAAAAAAAAATAAAATGGAAAATTGCTTAAAAACAATTGGCATTTTTAATAGGATAATAATCTTAAGTATATTAATAAAATTTTTTTGAAATTATAAATTGGCCTTTTAATAATTCAGATTTAAATTCTATTAAAAATCTTTGATTTATTGTTAAAAAAAATGTAGAAATAAGATTATTACAAAATTTTTTTAAAATTAGAACAATTTATAATAGAAGAATGGAAAAAAATTTTCAAATAGAATTATAATTTATCTTATAGATTTAATAAAAGAAAAATGTAAATTAATAATTAAAAATAATGATGAAAGAATTAATTATTAATTATATATTAATAAAATCTTTAAATTTTAAGCTTCATTTTGATATATTTTTTATTAATTTTTATGTAATAGTTTTTGAATAATAAATAAATAAAAAATTATAAAAAGTTTTGCAATATATTATATTTCATCAAATAATTTTTCGCTTTATAAAACCAGTTTAATAGAAATTAATCAAGTTCAAAAAGCAATATATGATAAAATAAGCAATAATTTAATTAGTTATAATTCTTGTAAATTGAAATAGAATAATATTTTTAATATTTAAATATTATCTGTTAAAATTTTAATAAAATTTTTATTTGTCCACATATATAATAATACTTTTAAAAATCAATAATAAGAAATTTTAAAACTATAAAACTTGTAAATTTTATATCATCTAATTTAAAAAATATAAATGATTATTTAAAAATAATTACAAATTTAATGAAATTTTAAAAAATTAAAAAATATTTTAAAAAATAATTATATTTGTTTCAATAAATTTTTTTGAACAATTAAATATAATAAATTAATTGTTTAAAAATTAATATATTCTTATTTTAATAAGGGGAGTGTCACATATTACGTAATTATGAATTATATAAAGCTAACACCCCCCCCCCCTTGTGAGATTGAAATCACATGATCATATTAAATAGCCAAGCATTTAAATATATGCCATGTACAATGTATGTATATAATATATAATATATGCCACGTATGTATAATATTGAAATTAATAAAT